ATATATATATATATATGATGTAGTAGTAGTATTATAATAAATAACAACAAGAGAATGCCAGTCTCACCCAAAGCTGCTTATTAATTATGGATCAGTCGTTAATAATAAATGTCATAGTAACAGCACTCTACCTGCCAGAGATACTACACACCAACACCAGCAGTGGATGAAGCCACAGTAAACCCAACAGGCTGAGCTAGAAGAGGACATGAACAGTACCGACACAGCAGTGGAGCTCTTTAACAGTGCAATTCAAAACCTAATCTACACAGTTCCGTATTCTTTAAACTGTAACTGACCGGTTAGCCATAGCTCATTCAACCCACGGTGGATAAAGCGACCGAGGCACAACTCTCTCTCTCTCCCCCACTCCTCCTCCTCTCCCCTCCAGATCAGTCTTTAACTCGCCGCCAGTGAGCGGCTCTCCTCTTACCTTCATTCGAGTAAAGTGTATAAAGTCGAATTTATTGTTTTGACACCACCGCAGCGTCGTCGCCTATCTTCAGATGCAAAGTTAAGAAGCGCCGGAGAGGATATGGCAGTGTACGTTTTACATAGCCTGGTTGAGTTGGGAACTTCCCTCGGGGAATCCCCTTGCTCTGTAGACTTCCGCCTTTACGCGCTAGTGGCCAATGAGCGAGCGGCTCGGAGGAGCGCTGGGTGGTTAGCTGGTTGAGGGTTCTTCCAGCCTACGCGTCTGCAAACTGACTGTTGTGCATGTGAAAACTGTCCCCAAACTACGCTTACACTGTGCTCATTTGACTCTCGAACATTTTGTCAACAATCCGTGCTGAATTTATTACACATAAAGTTGTATAAAGCATTGCTTGGATTGACCTTGTTAGGAGGTAACACTTTTACTGTTGGGCTGCCTTTCTTTTTTTTTTTTTTTTTGTGGTAATTCTATTTAACACAACTTTATTTAGGAATTTGTGCCATGTGAGCATTGGGTCTCACTAACATGTCAATGCTACAAATTAAGCTGGTTCAGTGTTGTACTTTAATGTGCAATTAATTCAGTTACTTGAAAAACAATTGACATGCAGTGAGTTTGGGGGTCTGAGATCTTGGCCTGATTGGTTACAGGCAATTTAAGTCTATTTCACCTCAAAAGAACAAGGCAATTCAAAGTGTTTTGCATAAGACTTAAAAGATATAAAATAAACACATTTAAACCTGGATGACAACAGGGCAAATGGGACAACTGCCACATGGGCACCCAACCTCCAGAACTTGTTGTTCTTGTTATTGTCAACATATCCTGTGAAAAAAAAAACATTGATCCTAACACATATTGTATCCATAGCCTAAAATATAGTTTATTCTGCTGTATCAAAGACCATTGTTGTTCAAAAACCTAAAATAGGATCCATCAGTGAGCTATATCTTTGCACTGCACTTGCAAATAGGACCAAATCTGCAGCTGAAAACATTTCCCACCAAAACCACTATTTAATTCTGCCTTTTAAAAGTATATATTTGTGAAAGATTATTAATAATTTAAGAACATTTTCAGTGGCTTTTTTACAGGCGTAAATACTAAAACTTACGATGACTGAATTCCATTTAGCTGCTTCGGTTTCAGGGTCCTGCTACTGTGCATGATGGCTCACTGTGACATTTACTGGTACACTTAAACAGAGCAGTGCTACTAATGTAATTAGTAACACCTGAGCTTTTGCATGACAAATCAAAATGTCTGCTGTAAAAGGGCCTATGCAACTGCAATGTTAAAAAGACTCACTCATATCCCCTTACTTTTCTTAACTGATGTTAATAATTGACTACAGAGATGACGGATTGTAAGAACAGGTCAGAGAATGCAGCACGAGGTACAGAACAGAACCTCAGGCAGCACACAACACATTTCACATTTAATATTAAATAAAAAATAAGATATTCAATATATTTTTGACAAAACAATTGACATGCACCAGCAAGCTTTACCAGTATCTAGAGGGATGCTTTGCTGTGCCATGGTGCCCTCTGGTGAAATGTATGGTTAAAAAGGTATGTGGCCACAGTTTATATCACATTGGATCAGAATCTTATGTTGTGGCCAAGACTCTGTAAAATGTGATGTTAAGGCCTCATCATGCTCCCTCAAATATGCTTCTGAAAACCTGCTCTGAGCTAAACTTGTGAAATACTTAATGAGAAAGAAATGTCTAATGATGATGATAAAATATTTATTTGTTCAGCCACCAGGGGGCAATTCTTGTAGCTTTTTTTTCATTTGACATTTATATACATTCTTAGAAAGTAAAGAAACCCCTTTTATATTTTTTTTACCATTTATGCTTAGACATAAAACATAAACATTCATACGTGAATACAGCAATGAATGATTTAACCAACCAAAGGCGATTGTCCAAGGACCAATGTCTAGGATTTAGTGGCATCTAGCTGTGAAGTTGGAGATTGAAACTAACTGAACTCTGTATCCTCTGTATCTAACGATCTTGGAATTAGAACGGGCTTTGAAGAAAAAATATGGTGGCTGCAAAGCCTGTGAAAAACTCTAAAAACTCCATCTGAAGCCAGTGTTTGGTTTGTCCCTTCTGGGCTACTGTACAAAAATGGTTGTTCAACATGGCGGACTCCATGGAAGGCGACACACGGCATATATAGATAAAAACTACTCATTCTAAGGTAATGAAAACATAATTATTCCTATATTCAGGTGATTATACACTAAAGCTCCTCCTAAATGTTACACACTGGACCTTTAATGCCTTGAATCTATATTACTAATTTTCCCACATACATCTTTTTTTCAGCATGAACCAACAGAAAGTTTGTAATGATTCAATAATCTGTCCTGCTGACATTATGGGTAATTCCCTCCCCGTTTCTATACAACTCATGCACACCAAACCTCCACTGTTTTATGTAAAGGTATGGCTGCACATGATTTAGGTTTTTATTTCTGATATGTGTATCACCTCTGACCTAGAATAGAGGTGCCCCTGTCCTAGACTCCATTGTGTGCCAAAGTTAGAACTCTCTCCCCAGCAAGATATACTAGCACAGCACCCAAAATCACCAGAAGGTGGCAGCTAAGAGTGAATTATTGAGATGCAGTATCTTCTTAACTTCTTTAACACTGACTTTAACCGTTGGTCATTTAAACTATTCCATAATGTATATTGTACTATGAAACCAAGTGAAACAGGTACATATGTTGTTGGTATTTTAAGTGCAGTAAATAAGCTTTTTACAAATAACCATAATATACTGGTCCTGAAGCCTGACATTAAATAAAGGTCATTTAATATCTGGGGATGTGCCAACGCCCTTTTCTTAATGACAACAAAACCACAAGTTAATCTAATGAAAAAAAAGATCCTGCAAGTCACATGTTAATATTTCAATAATGTGATCCTCTACTGTTTTAGTGAGATATCCAAACATGGATCAACTTCAGATTTTCCTTATGATGCATTTAAAATATGTTGATCAGTTGATTTTCTGATTTAATCCAGGACTGTCTACAAATGACAGAGCAGAATAAGTGGATGAACATTTCTTGTCTCCATCATAAATTTGATTATGAACTGGTGCAGAGCTTTGTGTGTCCAGTCCACAGTGGGACTCCAGTGACCTGGCTCCTCAAGGGATCATCTGGAGTCGTGCCACAGAGGTTGTCGTCTCTGACCCTCACTGACATTCCAACCTCAACCTCTGCTCCAGCTCAGAATGACTTACACTCCCAGAGTGCCACAAACAACCTCAAATCATATGAAAAAACTCTAGGAATTCCTTTAAGGGAGATAACAGCAGGCCATCTTAGGGGTTTTACATATTTTTTCATGGTTGCTTTGAACTCTGCTTTTATGGCAGTCTCAGATAACTCTTGTCTTGTGGTTCTGGTAAAGAAAAATGACATTTAGACTGCGGTATACTGAAACGCAATGATTTGATAAATGAACATTGGGTGAGGCATATGAGTCATTTCAATGACCACACAATCATTCACCTCAAATACAATTTTCTCTTTCTGTTCAGTCCTCAATCCTCCCTTTGTTCATCTTTCCTGAGGAGGAAATTCTATTACCCAGCTGGCTGCTCTGGATATTAATATGTTACAGAAAACATCAGAAAATCAGACTCGAGAGGAAGAAATTAGTAATATCTCTGCAATGCGCTCTGTATCAACTTTACCTGCCATGCCTGGGTGAGAGTAAACACCACTAAAGATGAGAAAAGTGCAGACATGATGAGACAGATTTATGAATACTCTGTTCCCTTTCATGTGGCGATCTGTTCTGTTTGATCGCTCTCTCTCTCTCTCTTTCTGTCTTCCAAGTAGTGACTGTACCTCCTTCAGTCTCCCTTATGTGACTCATAAATCATAATTGCCTCTATAAAGTACCACCATGCATTACTGTCAGCTACAACACTGGCATATAAGATGTGTACGTTTATCTCACATCTCACAATGAAGCATTTCCGTCATCAATATGTGCATTTCCTGCATTGTGAGACCACAGTATAATAGCACTTCAATAACCCATGCCACCTGAAGTGTTGAAAAGATGATACAGAGGAATAAACTGGGTGCTTTGCGTTCATTATAAACCATTGTTGTCTTCAGTAATCAATCTCTGTTAAAACATATATATATATATATATAACCATAGGCCTCATATACCTATATGTATATAGGCTCATGTTACACCCATAAGTGAGCAGTAAGATGTTTTCTGTTCTAGTAAATTAGTCCTCCCCAAGTGATTTCTGTCCCTAACTACCCTGAACCTCCCCACGCAAACTTACGAGACGGACAGTCAGTGGTGCGACGGGTTCCCATAAATTTCAGTAGAAAATGAATCTCCTGGGCGAGAATGCGGTGTCCTTTTCAACAGCATCATCCCAACCCAGGAGAAGACCCAGCCAATAAAAGGGTCAGATGTGGGTTTTTTTGGCCCTTTGTCCATTAAAGGACATTGGCGTGTATGTATTTATTGAATGATCTGTGCCCCCCCTATCAAATTAGTACGATGAATGGATATTTGTATGCTCCCAGTACGAAGAGCGATGCCAGTTCGACTGAATGTGATCATCCTAACGTTGTATTCTTCAGGAAGGCCAATCCCCTTTGTCCTTTCCAATGTGTGAAAAGGATACTGGGAGCATGCTGCTATATGGCCCCTTGTTCTAAGATATACACAATCAGAACCCTGGAGGGGCCTGGTTGAGCTCAGCAGTAAATCTTGAGCCGCAATGACAGAGTCGATCCATGTTTCAACTCCCCTGTGTCCCTAGCCAAATTAAACAATCTGCTGTAGGGTCTGCAGAAAACGCCAAGATCAAGACAGAGGGCGGAGCCGAGGACTGGCATGGGGTAAGGAGGAATGCAGGGGGAAACACAGAGATCAGATTTCAGGAGCCCAAAGAGAGGTGGCAGAGAATGGAGAGAACCCTTGCTGTCAAGAGTCTAAGAAACTATAAATAAAAGTAATACATTACATTTCACGCACATTTTCTTCATAAAAATGCTTAAATTAGTATTGTGTTATCTATTCGAATTATGGTGCAAAAACTATGAATGGGTGCAGTTTGTGTTTTGTTTCATGGAATATGTGAAAGTAGCTGTGTGTCACTTCA